TCAGGCTACAGTGACCACAATCACCTCATAATGTATTCTGCAAGTAATAGTCCAGCTAAGGATAATTATGTCAGCCATGCATATAACTATATTCTTGATGTGTTTAGCTTGCATTTTAACTTCTCTTGCAAGGACTATGAGTAAAAGGACTTTCTAGTTTTAAAGTCTTTCTTCTTTCTCTAAAACCCTCTTGCTGCTGGTATTGTTTTTTCCCTGCTTTGGCACTGGCACTTTGCCCAGGGCCAAAGGCACAAGGCTGTTGCATGATGGCAACCAGCTCCTCAGTCCCAGCTTTGTTGCCCACATCTTTCCAGTTAGACCCACCATACTACAGGGTCCCTTTCCTCCTCATGACCCAAATTAAGGCTAAGTTTTTTTACTAGCAGCAAACCCACCCAACTATATAGAGGAAGGCCATTTAGAGTCAGCTCACTTGAGCTGCACCCTGTCCCTCTCCAGAGGATGGCAGCAGAGCTCAAGCAACCCTGAAGGACTTTTTACCCCCACCCTGGCTTATAGAATCACAGAATGGTTTGAGTTGAAAGGGATCTTAAAAATCATCTAGTTCCAACCCCCAAAGTTCAGACTCTGCTGAGCTCCCTGCTATTTTCAGGTTTCACCTAAACAACTTTTCCAAGGGATCCAAACATGACTGGACGAAGTAGTACTGACAAAAAATCTGGATGGGAGTTCTAGGTAACATCATGAGAAATTAAACCAAGCAGCACTAGAGAAGCAGAACCACCTCCAGCCAAATGGCTGAATCACTGGGTACCCAGGGTAGGGGGACTCCTACCTAGATCCCATCTGGTGTTCCCTGCCCTACAACTCCCAGGCTGTGCAAGGAGAGCTGCTTTACCACTTTTCTCAAGGGTTTGGAAAGGCTCACCTGCCATACCACACGGCTTTCTGCTGAAAATAAAATGTATTTATTTCAACAAGCTATGGAAAATGTGTTATGGATTATTAGACCAGCATAAAACAGGGGATGGGAAAATTTGTGAGGTAACGAACTTTCAGTGCTAAATAAATGTGAATGTGCCTTGTACTAGCTGTAGATTTTTTGCCTTTAAGTTATCCCTTTTATGGGATTAAGCTATTTCTAGAGGGAAATGAAATTGCTATGTTTATAAATAAATATGTCTATATCAACAAAAATATGTCTACAACAGGGTTGCAGCATTAGTGGATAGGGGAAGAGTGTTTGACATTATCTACTTTGTTTATGTGAAGTATTTGAAGCTGTATAGCATGACATCCTTATCTCTAAACTGGAGAGACATGAATTTGGTGGATGGACTGCTCCAATGGATAAGGATCTGGCTGGATGGTCACACTCAATGAGCTGGGGTCAATGACTCAATGTCCAAGCAGAGACCAGTGATGAGCAGCATTCTTCAGGGATTGGTATTGGGACTGGACTGTTTAATATCTTTGTTGGCAATATGGACAGTGGGATTGGGTGCACCCTCAGTCAGTTTGCTGATAACACCAAGATCTGTGGTGCTGTCAAGGTGCTGGAGGGAAGGGATACCATCCAGAGGGGTTTTGCCAGGCTGGTGAGCCTATTGTGTATCTCATGAAGTTCAACAAGGCCAAGTGCAACATCAGCCTATGAGTTGGGACAATCCCAAGCACAGACACAGGCTGGGCAAAGGATGGACTGAGAGCAGCCCTGCAGGGAAGGATTTGGGGGTGTTGGCTGAGAAGAAGCTCAATGTGAGTTGGCAGTGAGCACTCACAGCCCAGGAAGCCACCTGGACTGCATCACAAGCAGCATGCCAGCAGGGCAAGGGAGATTCTGCCTCTCTATTCCACTCTGGTGAAACCTCACCTGGAGTGGAATGCTGCATCCAGCTCTCATAAGAAGAGCATGGACCTGTTGGAGAGGGTCCAGAGCAGGCCATGAAGATGGTCAGCGAGTTGGAGCACTTCCACCATGGAAATAAGCCAAGACAACTGGGGCTGTTCATCCTGGAGAAGAGCCAGCTTTGGGGAGAACTTCCAGCACCTAAAGGACTTTTTAAGAGGGCATGCGATGATGGCACAAGGGGTAATGGCTTTAAACTGAAAGAGAGCAGGTTTAGATTAGATACTAGGAAGAAAATCTTTACTGTGAGGAAGTGACACACTGAAATATATTGCCCAGCGAAGCTGTGGATGCCCTTTCCTTGGAAGTATTCAAGATGGGGCAATAAGCAACATGATTTAGTGAAAGGTATTCCTGTTGATGGACTAGAGGATCCTTAAAGGCACCTTCCAACCCAAACCATTCTGTGAGTCTATGATTATATTGGTTATGTGCTTATTTGGCCAAGGTACCCTTGTCTTTGACTCCCTCTGTCATCTTGATCTCCTAAGGCAGCAGTTTTACTTCCCATATTCAACAATCAGCACTTCTCCCCAGGCAACAGTGATTTTCCAGTGTGTTCCTGTCACTCACACCTCCAGAAAGATGGTGTTGGAGATGTTTTCAAGGCTGTGAGTCCATCTGATGTGTCATGGGCATTTCCAAGAGAAGACGTGCTGAGTACAGTATTCCCAGCAGGATTCTCATCTCCTGTGGTCTGCTCTGTACACCTGGTGGTCACTAACTCTATTAGTATCTCCTGCCTTGGTTCCTGAGTGAGCACAGGAAGAGGGGGAACATAAAGTGACAAAGAGACACCTGCCTTGCTGTCACTGGTCATCTCTTAAACATGCTAAAGATTTTACTCTGGTATTTTCCTGTGGGGAAGAGCCTGGCTGGTAGGCTCTGGCTTCACTGATATCAATAGACAGTTTGCTCCCAGCCTTTTCAAAGACATTTTACTGGGTTTTGCTGCCTTGTTTGTCACTCTGTCAGACTTGTGAGGTCTGGAAGTGCACATGAACAACAGCTCATTCCATCTTGTGCTGCTGCTAAGGACACCTCAAGCTGTATTCTGCTTGAGCCTGGATGTCACTGCACTGGGACCTGCCCTAGATCAGTAAACTGTGTTCCCCTGTGCTGGTTTTGCATGGCCTGGTTTTTAGTAGTGAGAGGGCCACAGAGGTCGCTTCTGTGAGAAGCTGCTGGAAGCTTCCACCATGTCCAACAGAGCCAATCCCTGATGGCTTTGAAGATGGACGTTCCAGTGGCCACGGCTGGACCAATTAGAGATGATGGTAACACCCCTGTGATAATCTATTTAAGAGGAAACCAAAACAAAGGTGGGGGCATGGTTTTAATTCCAGATGGAGAAGAGGATCAAGCGAGAACATGTGAGGGAGACAACATGGGGACACCAAGGTCAGTGGAGAAAGAGTCCAGGAGGTGCTTCAGGTGCTGGAGCTGAGATTCCTCTGCAGGCCATGGTGAAACCATGGTGAAGCAGCTGTGCCCCTGCAGCCCCTGGGGATCCACGGGGAATGCAGAGATCCACCCACAGCCCATGCAGGAGGTTTCCATGCTGGAGCAGATGGATGCCTGGAGGAGGCTGTGATCCAGTGGGTGGCTTGGTGGAGGGGAAGGGCCCCTGCTTCCAGGCTGGAGCAGCCTGTCCTTGGAGGACTGCACCTCAAGGAAGAGTGACCCACGCCACAGCAGTTTTGGGAGGACTGCTGCTCGTGAGATTGGAACCACGCTGGAGAACTTCACAGAGAATTTTCTCCTGTGGGAGGGACTCCACAGTCTCACAGGGAAAAAAATTCTCTCCCTGCACAAGGGAAGAAAACCTTGGGTGACAAACTGACCAAAACCCCTACCCCCTTGTCTCCGTGTGCTGTCAGTGGGATGGAGGGGCTGGGGGAAAAAAGCTGGTTTTGAGGGCTTATTTTATTTCTCATTATCCTGCTCTGATGCTGTTAGTAATAAACTCGCTTTGTACCTCTAAGTTGAGCCTGTTTTGCCCTTGGAGTGTTTCCTCCTGGTCCTTATCCCAGCTAATGAACCCTTTGTTAAAATTTTCTCTTCTCTGTCCAGCTGTAGCAGGGGAGGTTGAGTGAGTGGCTTTCGTGTGTGTCTGGTGTTTAGCCAGTGTCAAACCATGACATCCCCATGGGTGACATTGCACTGGGAAGGTGTCTCAGAGCACCAGGTCTAGTTTGAGTGCACTTGCCTCTGGGGCATAGAGATCATAAATAGGCCAGGGGCCTGGGGGACCCATGATGAGTCTGTGCTGAGCTCTGGGGCTGATGGTGTTTAGCTAGGTGAACTGCACTCTGCCAACCCGTGGGACTGTGTGAACAGGAATAGGGCTTTGGGACCACACAAATGACAAAGGCAAGTTTGCTCCAAGGAGGGCAATTCCTTATGGAATAATTTGCTGTAACTGCGCACATTTGACCGTATCGCATTTATTTTCCTAATGACCTCTACAGATCTCTGAAAGAAGGTCTCTCATTACTGCTTTTGTCAGCAATATGCTTTGCCGTTTTTGAGATTTGATTTACCAGGATGGAGAATCTCATTTAAGTTTTGCCACAGTATTGCTCTGTTGAATTCAAAGGCCAAGGCACGGTCAAGAAAACACAGCAGCACAAGGGGGAGGAATACTCTGACAAAGAAAAACAAGAAAAAATTAAAGGAAGTATCAATAACTGAATTGAAAGTGAGGCAGCTGTTTAAAAAAATCAGACAATTTTACCATTGGGACCAAGCATTCAGGCAATTCAAATTTATGAGAACAGTCTGTTTGATTATGTAATTTGGGCAGTAAAAGGCTGTATCACCACTATGATCAATGTCTTGAGGTACAATCAAATATGTGATATTTATACACAGGCTGCAGGTGAGAGTTTGGCCAGAATCACAGCAATTGAGCATATAATTAATATGCTCACCACGACTTTAGCACTGGCTGAGTTAAGCCTGAACCCCCTGTTACTGAACAGTGAAACTAGAAGGAGACAAAATCTTACAGGAGAGATCCATGGAAAAGGCCTCAAAGTAACTGCACTAAACATTCTCTGAATATACAGAGACATCTCATCATGAAAGGGCAATATTTATCTACACCAAACAGTACACAAAACAGACCCACTGTTGCTTGCAAGAGCTTCTTTAATGGCACCAACACAAAATAGATTAGAGACAATAGCAGAAGCCATGGTATTGCAGGGGCATTTTAAAAAAATCACTAAGAATGTGACAAAAGCAGAGGCAGAGATGTAGGTCACAGATTTCTTGCCAGGGCTGCATCTTTCCTCAGCACTGCAGGATTTGCATTCTAATAAGAACGGCCAGCACGAAGGGGACGCAGGAAGGAAAGCTTGTCATTGAACTTTATTGCCTTGTAATTTGGAAGGTTTTCACGTTCTCGAGCAAGGTATTGAATTCCACTTCCATCACTGTGCTCACACAGCAGCCACACACCTCTCTGTACTTTGTGGGAAGTCATGATGTCGTTGTCATGTCCTGCAGCCAGGTTGGTTGCTTCTCGCACTACCCTGCTTTTCCCTTGATAGTTGGCATGCTCATAGAGAGTGATCTCAGGATTGCTCAGATCTTCAGTGATCATCTGCAGAGAACTGATCTTATTATTCAACTTTGTACCAAAAAAGCTATGGTCTCCCTCCTCAAGTACCAGAAATCGACCTCCATAGTTTGAATGCTCATAAAGCACCCAAGGCTGGCCAATTACTTTTGCCGAGGAGGCAAGATCATTCCAGTCTGCATCTCTTAAATTGGCAATATCAGAGGTGAATTCTTTGGACAAACCCTGGAAATTGGTATGTTCATAAAGGATGATTCTTCCCATCTCAGCAGGACTTCTAGAGTTTGAATTCCTTCCTCTAGGAGCTGGATGACAACCTGCACAAAAGGAAGACAGGTAACAAGCAATGCTTGCAAGAAGACTTTTAGACATTGAAAAAAAGTTATGGACAGTGAGAAGGAAAAACAGGGAAAGGAAAAATAAAACATTTAGAACAAAGAATAAGCATAGATGTAGCTGGAAAAGAGTGAGGTCATGACATACGTGTATTGGTTTAGGTATATACACAAGATTAAGTTTTGTAAAATATTCTCACATTCACCCTCCACAACTGTGTGTCACTGCCCACCCCCACCCTGTCCCTTGGTAAGGTTTGTTCCTCCTGCAGCAGCCATCTCCTCGTGCCCTGAAGGATGGGCTCAGTCTCTGCACATGCACACAGCAGAGCCTCCCGTCTGTGCTGCAGCTCTCAGCCCAACGCTGAAGCCTCCTTCCCTTCCCCTGCATTCCACAGCAGCTGCCCAGGAAACCTCCCAGCTCTCCTGTGCAAAGTGTGCCTCTTACCTTGATGCCAGCTGCAGGGCTGGGGAGAGCTGAGGGCAATTCCTTCAGTGCAGGGCTGCTCTTTGTGAGGGGCATCTCACCTCCCGGTATTTATACGTGCACAGAAGTCTCACAAAGGACCCCAGTCAACGGAACTGAAAGCGTCCAATATTACCCACAGGGATCAAAACTCATTATCCATTCTATTTTGCTTCCTATTGCCCTACAATTAGATATCTTCTTCCTCTTGTTCAAAAGTCCATTGAAGCATGAGTGACTTGATGAAATGGGGAAGTTCACTTCTTGTTTGTCCTACTCCTCCAGGAGAAAATGGAATCAGAGTAATAAAAGGTATGCAAATAGTTGGTGACACGTGTGCTGGAGAATGTTTCTGCCTGTTGGAGTTTTCATGTTCACTTTTCTGGGAAGAATATCTAAGACACAACCTTTGTTTTACTAAGAGTTTTGTTGGGAGATATCCAGGTGGCAGAGGGGGCATTTATATTTTTCTTTTTTCGGTTGCCTTTTCTCCTTAGGATCACAGTACCATTAATGTTTGAAAAGGCCTCCAAGGTCCAGCCTTTGACTGAATGCCACCATGCCCACTAAACCATATTGCAAAGGACCATTTCTACTTGTGGCTTGAATATTTTCAGGGATGGTGACTCCACCACTTCCCTGGGTAGTCCATTCCAAAACTCAACCACTCTCACTATGAAGAAATGTTTCCTAATACCCAGACTGAACCTCTCCATACACAACTGAAGGCCATTTCCCCTTGTCCCTACGTTGCCACAAGGTCCTTTCAGGTACTATCAAAATTAAACACATCTGCCCTGAGCCTCCTTTTCTTCAGGATAAAAACCCTCAGCTCCCACAGCAGCTCCTCCCAGGATTTGTGCTCAAGACCCTTCACCACCCTTGTTGCCCTTCTCTGGACTTGCTCCAGCACCTCAATGTCTTTCTTGCAGTGAAGGTCCCAGAATGAACACAGGATTCCAGCTGTGGCCTCACCAGTGCTGAGCACAGGGGAACAATCCCTGCCCGTGTCCTGCTGGCCACACCATTGCTGATACAGGCCAGGTGCCGTGGGCTTCCTTGGCCACCTGGGAAGACTGATGGCTCATGTTCAGCCCTCTGAGGGTGTGGATGCCCCATCCCTCAAAGGGTTCTTTAGGGTCCCTTGCAGCCCAAACCATTCTCTGATTCTGTGACATATGTATTCATGTATATATTTATGTACAGTAATAGATTGGCATGGTACTATCATAGATAACAATCAAAACCATCAATATTGTTGTCTCAAAAGCAGAAAAAGGTCACAGTGTAGAACCCAGAAAGAAACTGTAAATAGAGACCTTCTGGCATAATGTAAAACCAGCTTCAAAGTCAGAATTTTAAAGCAGAAGCATGGCAAAAGAAATATAGATATTTTGCAGACATTTATTTTGCGTTCAGTACTGTTTTATTTTAAATAGTGCTTTATACTTTCAGTCTTGAAGTTAAACACTTGAATCTGGTTAGACATGGTGTTTCTTTCACCAACATGTCAAATAGCAATCTTATTATGCTAAATATGACTCTAAACATTTTTTCAATTCAGGCTTAAGATATTACTTCTTTTTAATGTTTTTCCTCTATCAATTTTTTCCATTACTGTCCATGGACCACCAATATTGTTTCTCCTCATTTCCCCATCTTCCCTTATTTTCTTTTCCAGATGGGTACAAATTATTTCCTACATCAAGTTATTGGTTCTCCTAGATGCCATGGTATGTTCTCAGTGACTCCTACTGTAACTCTGCTTTGCAGAAAACAGCATCTCCTCTGCTGGGAATTCTGTAGCATGTGTCCCCAGGATTCAGCCCAACCTGTCTCTGGTCACTGTCTTTCAAGGTGCTTTGATCTGACTTGTTCTGCTCTGGGGTTCCTGACCAACTTCCAAGCACCAGAAATACCATCTAATGAGTTACTGAATTGAATTCAACTAACAATAAATTGTAGAACCAGCTCTATTTCTGTATTTTCAAATAACTGCCTTTGGTGACTTATCAGTAGGAACTTACTTTACGGGATCATGCTACTGGAGGCTGTGCTTCCTCCTTGCTGGTTTTGGAATTAACTCACAGGCATTCTGGATAGCATTAAAAAGTCATTGCTAGAACACTTCCCAGAGTCAACTCTGAACCCTTGTTGCTTTGTCAGTTGTTTAAAATATTTCTGATTTATATTTTCACAAAATGTTTTATGTTGTCACTTCCAATTCTCATGAAAATCTACATTAGCATAAAACACATTTTCAGTGCAAAAGTAACAGGATGTGAAGATGGATTCTCTGTTTCTTTGGTTGGTTTTTAATTTCTGCTTGCATTTGTGTTGAAAGACACTATGATGTCCACTCAGGGGAAACTGTCTGCAGCAGCCCAACCATTATCACAAATAGAAGCTAAGGAAAAGTTAGAGAGAACTCTGGGACCTGGGTCACTGGGTGGTCATGTTGGGTCTAAGAGTGTCTTCCCCAGGCTTTGAGCACTGCATGACACAGAGCAGGGTGTGGTGCTTCGGCAGGGAAGCCATGGCTGGACTACAACAGAGGCAGCGGCATGAGACAGAGAGGCTGATACAGAGCATGGGGTCTGCAAGACCACATTGAGGAGGCAGGGGTCCTGCACAGGCCTCAACCACAATGGAGTGTTCTCTTGAGCCTTGTTCGCTCTCTCCTCCTTCAGTCACTAGCTCTACAGGTGTCTCCACTGTCCTGCTAAGACACGCCTTACTACACAGATTTCCACCACTTGTGATATTTTAAATCTGGGAAGACAAGCTTGTGAGGGTATGTGGAATATGACAGCCTCTGTTTCACGGATTTTATCAAAAAAAGACATTTTCAGTTCAAGAGAAGTTATAATGATGTGATTTGCCAGCAATGTTTGAGCTGGAGCAGCCAGCAAGCAGGGCATGGATATAGAGAGGGATTTCAGACAGGCAGGAGACTCGTGCTGGGATTCAAGGCACCCACGACTGCCAGAACACCCATGAGAACAGTGTGTGGTGTGTGGGGGCTGGCTGCAGGCACCAAGCTGCACTAGCCCGGGCCTAGGAGACACCAAAGTGTCCTCTGGTCAGAGAGCCCAGAGCCAGGTGTGAGACTGGAAAGGCTGAGGGCTCTCAGTCCTGTTGGAAGCACC